GGCGAACCCCGTTTTGACCTAGCCCCCCACACTGACCTCATGCTCTAGCGATAAATTTTAATTTGCACATTCTTTGCTTCTGTCTGCCACGTTTAGGACTTCACCAAGGAAATCGTTAGCACGTGTTAAAAGGCTGCTGGACTGTTCTTAATGGTGAGAAATGGAAAAAAAAAAAAACCCAAAGTGTCCAATAGTAGAGACTTAGGTTGAATTCATCAGCTCATTTACGAAATGGAATAAAGTACCCTAATTCCACGGGAGAATGTATATGAGTAAAAGATGCTGTTTTAAAAATCTTTAGCAAATAAGGGACAATACCCCAGAGAACCACCCACATCCAACTGAGGGTTATAAAGAATGTTCTAGTGGTGACGTTCATTGCCTTATTTATGTGCATTTGCATTTTTAAATGTCTTTGTTGCACGCGCTAACTCACGTTATGAGGAGGCAGCGCGCAGGACAGTGATTAAAGACGTAAGTACCAAAATCACACGCCTGACTCTGAATCCAGTGGCATCCCTCAGAACCTCTTGGAGAATTCTGTGACCTCTGCGAGCCTCAGTTTTCTCATCTATAGCATGGGATCTGAGACAGACACTGCCGTTGCGGGAATTACAGGGGGTGCTGCCACCTGTCAGGTACGGGGCAGGTGCCCGGCAAAGAGGGAGCGTTTGGGGATGTGGGCTATCGATATTACCACGGGGGACACCATAAACGCATGAAAGTCATTTTTCAACAAAATATGCACTCGCGCCCTAACTTAGGTAGCTGGACGTGTTGTGTGGGGTTCTTTTGGGGCTCAGATCTGCTCTGATTTTGGGACAGGTTTTTCAGGTGAGTTTTAAGCCAGTTTGTCAGCAGCTTTATTCGTGTCGGATTGGATTGTCCCCGGGGCCAAGGTGTGGGGAGGTGCCTGCAAATAGGAGCCTGACAAACAGGGCAAACTGTTCTAGGACACATCAGCGAGGCCACCAACCTTCAGACCTGGTGCAGCCCTCCTGGGAAAGCCCGTCCTTGGGCCAAGTACCCAGGTCACCGCAGACTGACCTCCGCCTGGCCCTCCCCTTCCTGCCTGGAGCCTGAGGCTGGCTGCTCTGTGGAGTCACAGTCTCTAGTTTGCGTTTACCCGAAAAGCCACCTCGCCAGACCCTGGGGTATATGGCAGGGTGTTCTAAAGTTTTCAGAGACACATCTTAACACCTCCATGTTGTCCTTCTCAGGAGCAAAATCTCAGTGTCCTCCCAACCCCCACCTTGCTTTTTTTCCATGCCAGCCTTTGAACTCAGCTCTGGCTTCCCTGGGCGTGCCTGGGGATTATGCCAGATTTGGGGGGCCTGACCAGCACCTCTGTGGGCCCCACCTTCTCCCCAGTCCCCTAGGATTGGGCAGGGACAGGTCTCACTTATAATTTTAATGTGAATTACATGCTAAAATGGTATGACTGTAGACGTTACAGAAAATATTATTAAAATCGATTTCATATACGAAGCCTCTTATAACTCTGAGTTAGACTCCCAGGAATGCGACCGCTGGTTTGAAGAGTATATGTAAATGTGATTTTACTAGGCGTTGCCAGGTTGCTTTCCAAAAATGCCATAGCAATTCACATTTCGGCAATGATCTTTAGAGAACCCCTTTCACTACAATACATGTGAACACTTATTTTTATCAGTCTGCTAGGTATGAAGTGATAAGTTGTTTCTTAAATTTAAATTTTTCTAACCACAAACAAGTTCGAAGACCTTTTTTATGTTAAACATTTAGATTTGCTCCTCTATGAAATGTCGTGGTAATTGGATTCGGTTCAGAGAACCCCAAAGCAGCAGAGGCTATTTTTGTTGTCCTCAGCCTCATGTTCCAAGATGGCTGCTGGAGTGCCAGGCATCACACCCTCATTCCAAGCAGCAGG